CTTTTGTGACGCGATGCCAGGTGATTTCTTCCTTTAGGGCGTTTGCGTAGATCGGCTCGTGCTGTAGGCACTACAAAGGTAGTAAATCTCGTGGTTATCCTCAATGGAGACATCGTCGTTTTTCTGCCTTCTTCCATAACGTTGGAAATTCCTTAACGTTGAGTGATTTGTTGAAAGACTATTCTAGCCTTTCAATAAGTAATGCCATAATAACTTGATATTTTTATAATAAAGCATTAAGATAACTATCCAGATGATTTTAAGCAAGTTATTTATGATTGTCAAATATCAAAAATAAAAAGGACAACAAAATAAAACATCAAATTTTTAATAAGTTTAAACTTTAATATTTATATGAAAAAGAAATTATTTTTTTCAATATTTAACCTATGTATATTTTAAAAAGTAAAACTTAAGTAAAAGCTATTTTATTCTTAGCTATTTTATTCTTCTTTTACATGTGACAGAATAGTTCATAAATATATCCCAAGATAAATTCAAAATAGTGATTTACTGCTACCGGAATGTGATTTATTATTGAAACAGTTAATATCAAATAAATTAACTTGAACAGAAATTCGTTGAGATCGTTTTCCAATTCAAAAGGAAATTATGTTATCTGAATTTATCGGGTAACGTGGTCTCATAACTTTGTTGTGTCTATACGAATTGCACACATTGCAGTATAGAATGATCTGCCAAACGCGTTGCTCGCTAGTAATTCATTTAGTTGACGACATAAATAAGTTTCGATGTACGCGTCGGGCAGTTTCGGTTGGATGACAACCTAAGTAATCGATTGGGTTGCTTGTCAAACTACGCCGATAATGAGCATGCTTACCCTACAATATGACTCCTTAAGATCAGGGGTCAGGATGTGCAGTCAAATCCATGTACTCCGTTTAAGCGACAGACAGTGTCTAGCTGAGAGTCGTCGGCGTCGGGTCGGTTAGTCGCGTTTTTCATCGGCCTGTCGGAGTCTATTCAAGTGTTGGTAGTTTTTCACGCGGCAGACGACAAATATCCCCACCAAAATCCCTTTTCGATGAGTCCTCACGTGGTCCGGGATGTCATGCCGGGTCGCATCCTCGTCGGCACATTCACTGTGCCGATTCCGTTCCGGTGAGTACGATGGTGTCGCGTGTATCAAGTGATCTTTCGGATTTACGATCCGCGATCGAGCGTGACCGTTTTACGAAGATCGGAGGAAAGTGATCTCGCGCGTCAATCGTTTTACCGTCGTTCTCTTGCCGCGCAAAAGTGACTTAATCCTTCATTCGCATTTTGTTACAAATTATTTGTTATCTCGCCGCCAGTGGATATCGTGAAAATTTGGTGCTTCTGTTGAGAGATTTAATGGCGATGCCAACGACGTTTTAACAACGCCTGATACGATTTACTACGAGGGGAACTACCTCTCGTGACACAGAGAGATTCTCGTGGAGATTCGCGTGTTACGTCAGCGTTACCAGATTAATAGATATCAGCGTAATCCAGGTTAAATCCCGACAAAGGTTCACTACACTTCGATGAGTGTGCGGTGTGAATTCATCGTCCGCACGCCCCGAAAAGGTATATAGGCTCGGACTCCGTCGCGAGTTTTTCCGCAGAGTCGATCTTGTGTGACTGCAAGTGCGACGCGAGTGTGACGGCGTAATCAGTACGGTTTTCTTATTGAATTTCAATGATGACGTAACACGCAGCGGTCGCGTCACGTTCCGAACTGGACTGTCCGCGTCAATCTGGACATAGATGCAATCGAACTGAATCCCGCCCTAAGTGTCATTGACCTATCGAATGTGTCTGTTCACATAAACGTATATCCGTCGTTAGATCGTACGCTATCGTCTCAGTTACAACGGAAACCGCGAGAATTCGTGACGAAACGACTCGTGCTCGCGACTCGTTATTGCGACTAGCTGGTCGTAATTCGTACGATTTACAATGCATGGACTGAGATGACACGCCGAGGCAGAGACTCGTAGCTATGTCTACGGCGATCGTTGGGTGAGTTACGGCGATTTCATTGCTACGTTGACATGTCTCGCGTCGTCCTCTGGGGACATCCTCCGAATTCCAATCTACAGCGGATGAATCGGTAACGAAGAAAAACAGAGGAATCGTTACATTTATCGCTGATCGTAATCCTTTTCACTGTCATCGCATTGCGAATAAAACCTCGAGGGACGCTAGAATTTTTAAGAATCTCTCGCGAAACGTTTATTATAGACTTTCCTTGAAAGAACACGATGAGAAAGCATGTGCGTTCGCATATCTCCTCCGTAACTCCGGTATTCCTCTTTTTTTTTTTTTTTTCTTACTCTTAGCTATTAATGGATATCAGTAGCAAGACGTAAGTAACGAACGTTAACTGGAGGCTGCGTCACGAGGTGCGCCAACGCAGCGCGTGACGCGCGCATGCCGCTCTTGCGTGTCGGAATTTGTCACGGTCGGGTTTCACGACGTCCCGGAATTTCGCGACTCTTTGGAATTCCGTGACGCGGCCACGTGTGTACCACCAACCGCGCAGGGTCCGGCTCGGTGACGCGTGTGCGCATGCATCCAGCCTCCGTGGTCCACGCGATTGGTACCGATACACGCGACAGTAGTTTCTCTCCTGTTCTCTACCTTTTACCGCCGAGGGACATAACAGATATACTACATTATGTCAATTTATCATCCAAATGTCTTGAAATTTTTAAATAAATCTATACATTTTTGATAATAATAAAATGCATAAAAGTAATGATTATTAACTGACTGAGATTATAAAATGATTCGCGCGATTAAGAATATCACTCGACTAATGCGAGATAGGCTGGAATTCTACGTCCTCGGCACTCTTTCTGTTTTGATGACACGTAAAACATCTCACGGACATTTCGCTTGGACATTTTTCCTCCTTACGTAAGACGTCCCGGGAGATCCGAATGTTAATGTATCCCCGCACCTTTCGACGCCACACACCGGCGGTTACCTTCGTCGTGGTACACCGTATGTATTCTCGCGTCCGAGGTGATCCACGACTGTTAATGAAATGGCTAGCGAGAGATTGTCAGCGGGACATCGTTGTGACTAAGTTTGCAATTATGTAAACCGGCATCCCGGCGAGTGGAATACTCGTACACCTTGGTTTAGAGGCGGTGGTCTTCGTTGATGTGAAAATTGAAAAATTGATATTGACACTGCTAACGTAAATTAGATACTTTGGAATATGATACGAAACGTTCTACAAGTGACTCTCGTATACATAAGTTGAAATAAGAATATTCTTATGGTAATAGAATCCACAGATATGATCTTTATATAGATTCTCGCTCGCATATATATCTTTTTTATTACATATTATTGTTTTCATTTAAAAAAAAATGACATCACATCTTCAAAAAAAAAGTGACATTACATCTTCTTTTCAAATCACATTTATAATTATCATTCTGTTATATGAAATAAATAATGATTTGTGATAATTACGATATATTTAATTTATACATATCTTATACGTATTTCTTTAAATTTCTTTTAGAGCTTTTATATATAAGATGAATCTCGCAATTTAAAAAAGTACGAATCATTTTTTTACACGCGTTCGGTAGCAAATGTCAAATCCAGTTGTGAATTTGCATCGAGTAGCCTCACCATTGCCGCAGTCGTGTCGGTGCAATTAAACCTCGAAACCTGAATCGACCGCGTACACCGTATCGCGCTCCGCGTTACGACCTGATGTATATTGCGTGGGGGACTATGCGATGATGAATGCATAGCAAAAAGCCATGGTAAAATTTATATCGTGAACTTACCTGTTTCTTTCACCTTCTCTCTTTCTCTCTTATTCTCACATAAATATATTTGAAATGAATCGAATAATTTCTACAGTCGAAGATTGTACATTTAACATTTTGCTCGGATTAATTAAAATTGCGATTTGCGCTTTAATCGCAACGATCATAATTTCGTGATGAAAAAGGAAAAGACCGAAGATAATGATAAAAACAAGGTAGTTTAGGAGTGAGGCGCACCGTGCCTTTTCGCGACGACGTGTTTGACAGAGACAAAGCGAATATTTTAAGTGAATCGGGGGGGCCGCCCAGCGGCATTCCCCGTGGCGGGGTGCACCGAGTGCATCGAGAGACGTAGGCGGGATGAGGCGAAAGAAAGGCACGTTTGGTCCACCCCGCGGTACCACGGCCGAGCCAATAACCCAGTCGAATTAAAGCGAACGACAGCGAGAGCTCGTACCGGCGCGACCGCGGCTGCTGTTTACCTGTGTTCTGTAACATGAGATGCATTCGCATTGCGCAACTGCTTGCGGCGGCTCGCCGCATGTAGCTCGTATGTAACTGGGTTATCATTTACGACCTGCGGCGCAGCGCGCCGCGTCGTTCCTCTTCTATGATTCTTCGACCCTTTCTCATATGTTAGTAATATCGATGATCTTACGCGAGATCTCACTTCTTTGCGGCTGAAAACGCGATGTCTCTCAACAGATGTATTCAAGAGTATGCGATATTAGTCGTCCAATTTTTAATCTCAATTTTCAAATCAGGACAAAGCTATTGGTATTGCTAATTATAGATTTTGCAAAAAAATGCATGCTGTTATCTTTTTTACTTTTTACTTTTAAGGATATTCTTTAAAGATATTGTTATATTCTAAGATTTAAACGGCTGTATAAGTTAAAGTTAATAAGGATGTGATTTACTCGGTACAATCTTTTTGTAACATCTTTTTAGCACTTTCTAATTATCCTAAATTATATGCACAATTTTACTTATCAGTTATAACTTATCACGTGCACTTTATGCACGTGTATTTTCAATTTGTGCGATTGGAAATAGTAATAACTATATGCCGCGCGAGCTGCTATATAATCACACACGAAATTTATTTGCATATGTGATTGCTTAGAAAATCGTCACAAATTGGATGAAACGAACTTATTGCATATTTCATTCCCGGTCGATACTTTTAACTAACTGGTATATTTTTGTTGTTTCTAGGTTACCACAGCTTGCCGTTTTAGCGAAGATTTTGTGCCTCCTGATGGTGAGTATCTATACAAATAATTTTTTTGTAATACCAATAGATTTTTTACATTAAATAAAATTGTAGTCTCTCTCTCTATTTCCAATGTATCTATATATGTATTTTTTATAATATATTTATGAAAAAAATTATTAAAAATTTTAAGAAAATAAGCGGCTACAATACATTATATCCGTTTAATCACGTTTTCCATAAGTTAATAAAAAATAGTAATATTGTTTTTTTGTACTCTGCGAAGATTTTAAAATATTTATATTATCGAAGAGATTATCGAAAAATCGTATGTTAAAGTACGGAAAGCCCAGCAACGATACATTTATCGCGCCATGATCGATTTGTAATCTTATCTCTTTGAACGCGACCGACATTTGTGGCACGAGCCAATTGCATAAAGGGTAATCTGATGATCAGCCGGCCTAGTTTTACGGACAGTAACAAGCGGCATACAATTTGTGTGAGAATATCAGCCGCAGTTCCGCTGAAGCCGCACAAAATCGCCTACTTCCTAGCTCGTGAATGTATGCAAAGATATACGGCAGGCCACAATCGCGGGGGTGACTAGGTCAGATCTGAGATATCTTTTGCACGAAGAGGTCGGGATCCGACCCGAAAGGCTCGCGTGCTGAAACTCGTGCCAAGACTTAAGTAAATCGGCGATTACGTCGGCACGCACCTTACCTGCCATAGATTAATGATCAGCGCTTCCACTCCTACGCGTTTACGGGCACTGACAATTTATATGGCCGAGCGGCGGCTGCGGGCTTTGAATTCATCTTAACTCATTGCGGCGCAGCGTTTAATTCCCGCTGTGGGCGCCGCGAAACGCTATAAGTTTTGACGTCGCTTGTATTTTTTGAGTACCCACGACGGCATTCATCGCAGAACCGTTAGGTTGCCATCGCGCTTTAATAAAATGCGCGCGTGATGTATCGAGTTGTTTTTTTCTTCTTTGATCCTTTCGTTTCTAAACTATGTCTATTGAACATACCTCGGCTTAATCGATTTTTAATTTTTTTCACTTTTCAAGATGAACTTGTTAAAACTTGGATGTATTAAAGAAATTGGACTGGAAATGTAGATTGTTAAATTACGATTCGATTTGTTGAATGAAATTTTTTTTATTGACGAACTATTTTCCATAATTTGAGTCTTATGCGGTGTAAATCATCAAGTGTAAATCGTAAAGATCGAGTTCCCATTACTAATAACGAGCATTCGTTATTTATTAAGCTTTTGAAATTGATGGAGATCTACCCGACTTTCCAACATGATAAGGACAATTCGCGCGACAGTCCCATTGCGTGAAGACTCGAATCATATTTAAATGAGATTTATGTATCCTCGATACCGGTCTTGAGCAGTGCAGTAAACGGTTCGCCGATTCAATAAATAATTAAATGGATGGTCGGCTGAATCGCGAGTGATAAATTTAAACGTCGCCTATTGAAGTAACCGTGCGGTAAATCGCGATGAGCATATTCGAGGCTATTGCCTTGACGATACGTCTGCTAGGTGAGAATTTAATGAAGAGTTAATACATAAAATTACAGAAAGCTATTCGTCGATGATTGTTATTGTCTGTTTGCTTCGTCGTTGTTAGAAAGTTCTGACGATTAAATGATAATGCGAATATCATAGTGACGATGCGGAATCAATCAGCATGTTAAATTTCTAATGCGCGTCGAGATGAACATAATTACGCTGCACGTTGCGACGTGGAATTCTGTTGCGACGTAGAATTTGTTGCGCGCTGCAACATTATGTAAAAGAATTTAGCAAAACGTTGGTGTTATTGTTGTATACGTTATACGTTAAACAATAAAGAAACGGAGCTCAATTATCTGTATTTATCTCTTGAGCTACACGCGTAGAGATCGACCATTTCGGAGCATTAAAAGGCTTGTGTTACATGATCATGAAACTTCAATAAAATCCTACAACGCGAAGTTAATTACTATTCCCCGCATTCGCACGCATATCTGTTCTTCGTCTCTATGCATTCATTACATGACGGTATTACACCGCGACAACACTTCCTTGTGATAAATTCTGAAGTAATATATACGTAGAATTGACTTTGATCGCGTAATGCGCGAAAAACGTTAAGCATTAAGAACAATCAATTTAGAAATATTAAATTGATATTTAATTGCAAGTTGCAGTTGCGATTTATTCGACGTCATAATCGTGTTGTTTATACACATCAACGAGTTCCGTAAGATTGTAATTTATAAAAAGATACGCGTCACACATACGACAACGATCTTCCTAATGTAACATCTGTTGTAGATGTGTAGATTCAGATATTATTCGAGCGTCGTGCTTATTCGATTGCAGTAAACTTTCTACTTCGTTGTTTGTCAAACTAACGCTCATTGCACCGGCTATCGTAATCTTGTCGGCGCCACTTTTGATATAAACGAAACGCCACTTTCGGCGACTATTAATGGACGGCTCGTGTCCGCTCGTTAACGAGGTCTCTGCCATCAGCGAGCACCATCTCCGAACGGCCAGCACAACGACTCTCCGTCTTCGTCCGTCTTCGGCGCATTTTTATTCGCGCGCAAAAGAATTCGCGCGAGCAGATCAACGAATGACTCGATGATATGTGAACCGCCCGTAAAAGCGTTCTTGTCGGCGGGCCATGGAAGAATTTCGACGATTTTCTTAACGACTCTCGGTTTGGTCGTTGTTCTGAAAACATGTCACGCGAATTTTTATCTCACCAGCCCTGTTCTTATATTCAATGGAAGATTAACTATCAGATAATTCTGCGCGATGTGTAACATTAAAGAGCGATTTTATATGGCTGAGCTGCTCCTTTTATTGTTATATGATCCCTTTGTGTTTGTTATATTCTATAATTATTATTTTTAACTAATGAATAGATGTGTTTGCACAATTATTTTCGCTGACATTTGAACAGTTCATCAAATATTGTAAATGAAAATTTCGATTTCGATTTAAAATAATATTATCATATAACAGATAATTTAAATATTTTTATATATTTGTATCAATTTTTATATCAATTTTGAATATTTTTATAAATCTAAAATTTTTCATAAATTATAAAATACATTATTGATTTGATTTCGTATATTAAATTTATTTTAGTCCAAATTTGTTGATTAGTTTATTTCGATTATTTGGATATCACTTTAAAAAGTGAATCCGGAATGAAATCGGCTAATTTTTCAATTGACTCAAGTGACTTTGAAATACATGAGCGGCCCTTGTAATTGCAGGTGGTGATGTGCGGGGCGGTGCCGGCGATGGTGCGCTCCGTGAGTCTCTACTCGACTTGCAGCAGCGGCAATGTTACCGTAATAGGCCGCTCGGTCAAAGCCATAGGACGCGACGATCACAATGCACCCTATCGTAAGTAAGACCACAAAAATCGTTATGACCTATTTAATATAATTCTGCTAATATAATTCAGACACGATAGATAAAACATTTTATAAATAATGAAAATTACTTTATAGCTGTTTTAACCTTTAACATTTTCTTTTCAAGATATCTTCTAAATCTTCTGAATAATTAATTTTAATATCATATCTAAGTTTTTTTGTTTTTTTGTTGTATCTTAACAAAAAGATTTCTATGTAATGATTTATTAAAATATTTTTTTATCTTTGTGGAAGAAATTTCTTTTATTAGAAATTTTTGCAAATCTTTAGCTCAGATAATTTATCGAAGTTTATCGACTATATTATGAATTGAATATTAAATATATTCAATATATATTTGGCGTATGATCTTTGACATTAATTATCTTTCGATGAAAAAGATATTGTTTAGAGTTATATATGTGTATGTAGTAATAAAATTATCTGAAATGAACTGGTTAAATTTGTTATATACATAATCGAATTAAGTCTAATCAGGGTTTCAAATTTTCTTTATCATTTCAACGGATAGTTTTGTACATAAGAAAGGGATTTTTATTCGGATACGATGCACTAAAGAACTTAATTTATTATGATTCTTATCGATCGACCTCGGTCAGTTGAGAATCTTATCTCTCTCGTTTTCGCTACTGAATGCTTCTACGACAGAGCCTTCCGGATAAATTTCCATTTTTACGAACTAATAACTGCAGTCCTATTTCCGCGAGCAGTTGCGCCGGACGCACAAATGTCGGAGAACGAAAGGAGTAAAAGAGGATGGCCACCGAGGAGTCTCGATGAATTACGACGTAATTTTATCTCGTCTTGATTGTTTTCGGCTAGACACTCTTGTCGTTTGCTTTATCGTGCGTCGAATGCATTTCTTCCCATTTTTATTTATTGGAATCGGTGTTACGAGCAGGTTACGGAGAATCCGGTCTTATTTCTCTAAAACTTGAAAGGAGATATTCAACGGAATATATAAAACGTTTACATACATATGTACTCGTTTATCTTTCACTTTTATTACCTTCCCATAAATTTATTATTAAAGCAACGCTCATTTATAGACAAGATGCGTGTTACGATAATGTCATGATTATTTATTATATATCTGTTAAATTATTTTGCATCCTTGATTAATGCAAACTTAAAATAAACAGATCGCACTGGCAGAATTACGATGAATAAACATCTTTTTTGTTTGCCTTGCATAATTCATTCGCGATAACTTTGATCGATGATCCTAATAACAGTCAAGTCAAATATTTTCAAACATATAAAGATGACTAGTCAAATGTTGAGCCTAAAAGTAATAATATTTGAAGAATTAAAAACAAAACTTTTGTCTTTATTTATGTAATTGTACGTAACAATGTATCATCAGTTACACATTATAATTTATTAAAACAGATTTGGAGTAACTTGAATATGTATTTTATTTCGTATCACGCAGCATAATATTCATGTTGTTTCATTCTCGGGTGATATCAGTATGAGGTGCCATTTTATGCATATACCATTAATATAACAGGAACTTCCTACATCGTAGTTCGAGTTTCATTAATTTCTATACGGGTCTCTCATCGGGGCACCGCCGAAATGCTCCCTCCGCGGCGATTCCCTTCGCAATTTCGCGAGTCCGCGGAAGTTTTTACGTGTGATATCCTGGACGAAACGAGCAAGCGAGCTGTCCGCCCTACGCGCGGCGCGAGTACGAGGCGGTTCCTCTTGAGCCGGCGAGGTAGGGGACGAAAGGAAGGTTTGGAAGGAGGGAAGAAGGCGCTCGCTTGTGCAAACAGAGGAGCCAGTTTTCGCGCCGCACGCTGCGCACCGCGTCTGCACCTCCCCGAGATCCATCACCTTCGCGTACCTCCTCCTCCTCCTCCTCTTCCTCCTTCTCCTCCTCCTTCTCCTCCTCCCCCCTCCCCCTTCCTCCGTCTCCTGCCCCCTTTTGCCTCCACCTTTTCCCTCTGTTACTCTGCTCTCTCACCTCTCACGCACTCAGCTGCCGACAACGAGCCTCTCCTGACCAACGATTACTCAAGCCCCTCTCGCGCGACGCGGAACGGCGTGTGCTGCTGCACGGGGGATTGAGACACTGTGAGAGAGTCCTTGAGGAGCCGTGTACCAGGCTCCGAGGAAGAGCGCGCCACATCGTATCTTCGTGTGCCTGAAGTCTTCCGAAGCTTCCGAAGGTTGTCGGCGTAACGAGTAACGAGTTGTCGCCGAATACCAGTTTGATTTGGCTAAATCCTGCCTTCCAGCGAATGAATTATTATATTGAAAACATATTACATAATTTACAAAATAAAATAAAATTTATGCAACACACACCGCGCATGTCGCGTGCAATCATGATTTTCTATGAATCGATTCATACATGTCGATATCAACGACCGGGTAAAAGAGAATTATGTAATTATAGATTATTATTTTTTTGTAATGCATCTGTTAATTTAATCGTCGCGTTAATGTTATATATCGAGTTACGATTTAAATAGAATAATATTAGTAACCATATAAAAAGACATGGAAACGTTGAGCGAGAGGAAACTGAGCCAGTCCGGAATGATAAATCATAATTCGAGTGTGTCAGTTAATAACACGATAATAACTATTATCCACAATCAAGGTAAATAATAATTATCAACTTTTTATTATCCGCACACCGATGCAAACAGATGCGATCGACATGACATGCCGTACTAATAATTACCGTGACGCGACATACTTACCGCACTTAAATCACTCCCCAAAACACTTTACGGAGGGTCTCGTCTGACGTTTGACACTTCGGAATTGGGTGTCCTTCGGGGGGCTGACACCCGCGCGAATTTCGACACGACATCGCGAAAGAGGGAAAGCGATAGAGATCTGAAGGTGGGGAGGAAAGGCATATTACGAGTAGGGGATCGGCAGCACCGATCGTCCAGACTGGAATTTAATTATTCGAGTCGCGGCGGGCTGTGATTACCGCGTCAGCCCGATAAACCAGACTTCACCTGTCGCACCTTTGATCCCGTTCGTCTTGATGCGTCCAGAGTTCGTCTACTGTGCATCGCCGAGGAGAGGAGACGATCCTCGCGCACCGGCCAATCGTGCATTTAGGTGTTAATGACAGGGTCGCTATTATACGCGCGCGCGCTCATAACGAGAGAAGCTGCGTCTATACGCTGTGTTCTCTCTTGCCTTCTGCCTTTCCCTTTTGATTTTTTCTTGCACTTTACACGATCGGTACCGACCATCTCCCCCTCTCGCGCGTTGTATTATAGCTTTCATAACGCCGACGCCGCGAAATTGTAGCGCTCCAGTGGTTCTCGGCCCGACGCGTCGTCTCACCTTCATACCAAGGCCGATATTATACCGGCAGCTAATAGCCATATCGGTACCTTTTGCAGTGTGGTAATTGCATGTAATTTTCTTTTCTTCGTTTCTCCAAGAGAAACGGCGAATAATCGAATCCCTAGGTCTGATAAATCTCTTAAGCTATATCGCGGATAAATCGTGAGGTAAAATCGTTTGGGTAGTTTACTTCAACGCGCGATAGAAAAATGCGGGTAGTTGCGAACCCGTAACGAGCGGCGAATTGGTTTCTATATCGCGAGGAGCACGTAGAAGTAATATATGGGATCCATTCTTCTCTCCCTCTATCTCGCTCTTTTCCTCTTACGCGCAGGCCCATCCTACCAGTTATTATCCGGAGTAATCGTGCCTAAAAGCCGGTGCCCGCTTTTGATTAAAATTGGCTTTTAATTCATTTGGCAGCCTCTAATCTCGCGGCGGCTCCGATCAGAGGGAACCAGAGCGAGGGCGACGAGCCGATGGGCAGAGGAAGAGAATAGGGGGAAGTTAAAGGAGAGAAGACAGAGGTTTGAGGCGAAAAATTTAGTGGCTTCCTCTCTTCATCCTCATACGTGCCGCCGAACTTGCGAATGCGTCATGAATAAATTCCAATGTGGCATCTTTCGGCAAGATATATTACATCGAATGAATTGTGGATGGGTCTTGTAAAGAAAGGTTTCTTACATAGCTCTAAAGCTCCAAAATTTTATTTTGTAGACAGTGTTAATATAGAAATAATTTTGGGAACTGCCTTTCTAATTATTAATTAATTTTATCAATACTTTATTTTTTTATTTAATCGTTTAATTAAAAAAATTTGCAGAATCATTCGATACAGAATAATTCGATATATTCACTTTTTTCTATGTCCGAAAGTAGCATTGTACTTTTGCTTCTTAGTGCTTTGTCGATTTCAGAAAAATGATTCAAAGTATTTTCGTTGATATCAAAACGCTTATTGCATTCGGCGCAGATCCCAGCACTTCGAGAGAAAAGATTCATTGGCCAAAGAGATTCGTCAAGAAGATTGAAATCAATGCGCTGTAGACGCCTGTCTCGAAACTCCGCGCGTCTGGCAACTTACTAACAAACGCGTCAGCACTCGAATGACGCGCCAGTCTCACTTCCTTTCTTTGATAACGATAACCATCGCTTCGAGACGAAGCGACGGAGTTTTGCTGCGATTGCTTCGGTCGCCCGACGACGATGTCGACGGCGACGAGGTACCGGAAATGTGAAAGTTCGGTAATGGGTAACTGGAGCGAGCAAACACGTATAGAGGACTTTGTGAAACGCGGTAACATCGCTCGGGTTGTTATCATCGTATCTTTTTCCGCCATTGTACCGCAGATATTGCGCGACGCATACCTAAAATTACGGTGTCATGAACCGGAAGAAAAGGAATATCGACTCCGCGTTCGATAGTTGCCGCTTTATTTATAACCACCGTGCGACTTACATTATCATATAACGCCCATTCGATGTCTCATTATCGATACGGTAGTTTTGCTTTGCCCAAATATCCTGTATAATTCTCCACAGAGCTTGTATTAAGATAGTATGGCTATATGTTTCAAATTGGTTTTCGTCATATTACCAATTATTTTGTAAGACTTTTTACCGTTTAATCGATAAACTGTCCACGAACCGTATGTTATCAACAGTATCAGTATTTGCAAATAATATTTGTTTTTATAATGATAAAAATAACTTTGATTTATTTTTGTCAATCAATTACGCGATTGATCGATCACGACTGATCGGTTGGAGAGATTATAATTTTCTGATCAAGTATCTGATACATTGAAATTATTAAGTGCAACATCCGTATGCATGCGCGATTGATGGATTGCTTAAAAAATTATTTATATTCTTTATTGTTAAAGATTTATTAATTGATTTCCTTTCTCCTTTTGTATCATATAATTTTCATAAAACTACTTTTAACAATATATGAAATATAAAAAAAATTTTTTATAATTTTTACGACAAAATTTTTTAATATATAGTCATTTCTTTTATGCTAAATAATCTACTTGAGAATTACGAAGTGTACTTTGTTGTGTCTCTATCATTTGTTTAAATTACAGAGTAATTGCGTAATTTACAACTAATTATACAATTGTAAGTGCTCTTGAAATGTATCTCTCAATTATTGCTATCTGTCAACCGATGTATCAATATTCATAAAATCTATCCATCATTGCGTTTAAGGGTGTACGATTATGTAGGTGTTTCTCACACGAATGCTCGGATCAAATATTGGATAAGAACAATGGTTTATCTTTAACGATACTATCAGAATTGACATCCTATTGCGAGGTAAATCCAATTAATTAATGTAAGTGGCGCAATTAATTGGCGCAGACTGCACGCCATGATAGGCTAACGAGATAGCAGTTTGAGATTAAGTTCTCTTCTTCTCACTTTTTTTTCGTCTGCGAAGACTCGTGGAAGGCGACGAGAGAAGGAGGCGCAAGTAGAAGAACGGGGGAGGAGAAAGAGAGAAAGAAACGGAGCTGAAGAAGGGTTTTACGAGGCAGTTCGGAGACATTCTTGATTTCGATGTTGGAAGGGAATTCGACGAGAACCACTTGAATTTAACGAGGCTCCACGGCAAATGGGCCACCCTGCAGACTTGCCTCCTTTATTTTCTTTATACTACTGGAACTCATGCCGCACTACTAACCCACGGACAAACACTCGATCTTAAGATTGCGCCTTCCGTCACAAAGTTTCCGAGAAACGTTGCGATCGGCTCTGGACAAACCTATCAGCGAGAGGACAAAACTTTTGCCTTTGCTACTTCGATTCTTTCCTCGTTACATCTCGTACTACCATATGTCAAAGCAAAATGGTTTCTTAAAACATTATAAACTATTTTTTCTTTTAATATAATTGACGCGAAAAATAATCTACCTTTAAAAATGCTTATGGTATTAAAGTAAATTTATGTTGCGCGTGAAATAAAAATATTGCATTATTAATATTTTCTCGTAAATGGGGAGGAATGAAAAATGATTTGAACCTAATGTCTTTGGGTCGAAATCACTTTCGACCCAGTTCTCGCGATACGATGTTACAGTAACGAGCACGGTAGATATTTCTCGTGTCAGAAATAATAAAAGTGAAAAAAAAAAAAAAAAGACGTCCGTCGCGCACCTGTACCTGGCCGGTCCCTTTTTTTTCTCCATCTGGCGGACAAAGGGTGCCCGCTTCTCACTCGACAAAATTTCGTAACAGCAAGTAGGAAGGATAAAGGCAAACGAAATAGAGGAACAGAGAGAAAAGGACGGTGCTGCACCGGCCACGGTGCAACGTGCACTTCGGGGTCGAGGCACGACAGGATCCGCTAAGTGGCAAAGCATACACCGGACGGTCTGTGCCTCCTTCATTAGCACCAACTAGCCTCGGCGGCAGGCTTAGCTGAGTCTTTTCTTCTTTTCTTGGTGCCGAAGAGAGCGCTTGGTAGAGGGGCCCAGCGTCGTTGTAGGTACAACTCGCGCCATAAACCTCGACGAGGTCTCTTCTCGGAAATATGCCAGCGTGCATACCAAAGCACAAAACGGTTCGCTTTGTGCATCCTGTCGCCTGTCCTCCGGGATCGAAGCTTCGTGTCGGTAGAAACTGCAAGCGTTTCTCGAGGTCTCCGGAGTTCTTCCGAGCTATTCTTATATTTACAATGCATATTATTTTAAGCGAAGTTGCAGTTACTTCCTCTTTCTTCGAGAGAATAATTTTAGAAGTTTGAAAATCTTTTGGTAGATTTTATTGATAAGAGGAATCTTTGCATAATATAATTGTTGGTGTTTCGTTAAAATAGTTCAAGTGCGTAATAATAAGATTCCTTGTTTCTTTTTGTGTTACAGAGAAGCTCGCCACACAATCGGAAGATTTCAGTAGGAAGCTGTACATCTATGCGGAGAAGAGCCAACGATACCTTTGTTTCAATAAGCGGTGGAGACTCGTCGCCCTGGTAATTACCAATTAGTAGACATACTTCATTATCTCAAATGAACGGATAGATTTATACGCGCCGATAAACATCTCGTATTGCGCCGTAAATTTTTATTCATTACTTAGAGTTTGCAATCTAAAAATTGGATTATTAATAATTGAATGATTTATGACTTCAATGATGTGTATTATAAATTACAACTTTACTTGATTTATTGTACATTAAGTTCTATTTAATTTTATTGAAATCTATTTAAAGCATTTTTTAATGATTATTTATGAACTTTTTTGAATTTTTTTATTTATTTTTAAATAAAGAGCTGTACAATAATTACAATTTTTTAAACATTTAATTAATAACATTATGATAAAAATAGAATATCAAACTATTTGTAATATAATCTCGGGCTGCAAAGAGTTAATAACAAATAATATATCGTGAACCGTTGACCGTCTATTTTCAGTTGAAGAAACAGAAGGGAGCGATGTGTCAGTTTTACGAGGTATACAACGGCTCTTATTTGAGGTACAGGAGCGTCGCCAATGCAAGCCGGTACCTCGGCTTCAACAAGTTCGGTAATCCGGTAAAGAACTTCCATCGCAAGCAGGAGTGCTTCAACTTCATCAAGTACAACCCCCATGCCGATATAAACCATCACAACAATCTGGTGAACGCGGAGGGTATGGGCGGTATGGAGCCGCGGGAGCCGTACGTCTTCTTGAGGAAACCGTCGCCGGTGATGAGGGCCACGAAGAACTCCCTGTTGCAGGCCGACAGCGCGAGGGAGCACGTCCACACGTCCACGCATCGCCATCGGCACTCGAATCGCTGGAAGATGCGGCAGGACGGGACGGATTCGGGACCCCGGAGACGGCACGAGAGTCGCCTCGTCGAGGCCAGCAAGTATTGAGCCGCGTGCGAGCTCGCCGATCAAGACTGCCTCCTCCGTACCCCGTGAAAACCTGAGATCAGAACTGCCAAATACGCTGGTGGATCGCACGGTCGGGATGTCAGGAGCCCACTTAACGGCGCCCAGTGTGTCGCGACTCGAAGCACCACGTATTCGTTCGATCGGTCGGCGAATCAAGAGCGCGGGCGCGGCTCGCCCCGAGTACACACCTACACACGCACACGCGCGCACACGCGCGCGCGCGCGCGCGCGCACACACACACACACACACACACACACACACACACACACACGCCTTAAGCTGCGCCCGTTTAGTTCCGTTTCCGCCAGCCTGAGCGAAGCGACGTTTCTGCGGCGGGGACGGGCATCGTCGTCGAGATTTAGCGTCCGGATCGACGGTGAACTCCCGCCGATGAAGCTATCTCAATTTCACGCGGTTAAGTTCGATTTACACTTGCCCCGACTGACCCCTTCAGGCAAGTATGTACCTCGTATAACGTATAAGAGCGTTTCTTTCTAATCGTTGATTCCTCGCGGATTTGATTCGCGCGCGACGAATCGCACGTTATCTCTCTTGTCTCTTTTTTACTCACTTTCTATCTACCTATATATGTTTCTTTACTTAGTTTCGCGACGAAGCGTGGCCGATTAGTGAAAAACACTTTTTTTTTCTTTTTTTTTCGATGCTGCGCCTCACGGTAAATGCGAAATACCGTGCCAGCCCCGTGTAAATTTATTCAAGCCGACAATTTATTGTCCAATCGATCGTTTGGCGACGCGAACGAAAGGAATTCACATCACGTAGAAATCGTAGCGCAACCGAACGGCTGCTGTGCTTCGAGCGCGGCCACCGGCCCGCGATGGTAGCGCAAAGAGACAGGCGAACAGCGCTCGCCGATGGACACGTATTTCCCGATTTGCCTGACAGAGATAACTCATCTTTCGGATATCGCGAAATATTGAATTATTACTATAATTCGCTTAAGCAATATTGAAAGAAAAAAAAAAAATTTCGCCCAAAGTGCACGATTAGATAGATCCGAAAAAAAAAAAAAAATCTTGTGAAAAAATCTCTACGATAAAATCTCAATCTCAATAACCTTAGTGAAATAAGTACGCGTAACAAATTGACAAAGATTCGCTTGTGTTACGCTCGAGTAAGTGGCTGACGCGGCCAATTCATTCCATTCGACTTGTGATTGAGCTCTTTTTCGTAACAAGAGGGAAAAAATCACATTACGCGAGAATCACGGGTCATCAGTAGTAGTATACTCGGTTCCTCGGGAAATTATAAAGCGGGAACGCGCTGTCGGCGTTGGTCCAGCGAGGAAATATTTGTCATGTCGCGGACGCTCGTACGTCGCCACTCTTACGCCCGCCTACGCAGTTAGAGCTCACGCCGCGCAAGACTCTCTCGCTCGCTGTGCTAATTACGCCGCCTAACGTAGCGTACGTGCGTGCGTGCGTGCGTGCGTGCGTGCGTGCCTGCCTGCTCGCGTGTATGAATAATGTGTGCGTGCCTGCCTGCGTGCGTGCGTACGTGCGTGCTCGCGACATACACGCCGGCCTTACCGCCGCCGACGCACAAACTCGTGGCACGATCGATTACGAACGTGCCGAGTCCGACAACCGACGACAGTTCTTTCGGGTTTTTTCTTTAACAATTCATTTCCCGTTCGCACTGAACGACGATCATACGCGGAGATATTACGCGGGGACCGTGTTCAGTATCTATGAAAATTAACACGATGTCGTTGTGTGACTTTGAAATAGGAGGAACAGAATGTTTCAGATGCAGGACATTTGAAGGCTTGATATAAACTAGGCTGGAGAAGTGCCATGTAATTTTAAAAAAAAAAAAAAAAAAAATATTACTTTTGTATTTATAGAAGAGCTCTCTATGCTAACGATACGGCATAAGGCTGTACGTGTAATTTTTGAGAGGATTCTTATGAGATATCAGACGGAGATAAAGAGTATTTTTTCTATACTCTATACTTTTTCAACTAAATAAAATGTAGTTTTTCATTTTTGTACTCTTTCCAAGATATTCGTCTGTGTTCCTCTATCTCTCAAATACAAAATGACATCGATTGATAATTGTTGGCATATTTTCTAAACAAACAATTTCATGTGGAACTTGTCTTGAGATACTTCTTTCTTTCACGCATTTTGGACGACGGCGATCGGTTAGAACTGCGTGTCTGCGTAAGCGAGGATACTACGCTAGTATATAGTTGTGTGCATTCTGCGTGCATACGCATTTCGCCTCCGGACCGCGTGTGAGTGCGTGTAATATAATGCATTATCGTTAATGAATTTAATCCTTAGAAACGCTATGGCAGACTGTATTATTAGGCTAGGTACATTAATATATGACGCGGTGGCGACTCGGCGAAGGGAACCAGGGACGCTGAGTTCTTTGCTCTACGCGAGAACGTCTTGTGCGATATTATTTTCCGCTTCTATTTTACGAGATCGAGCGCCGACCTCGCGTCGTTTTAACTTTTCATAAGCACAGGGAAGGCACCCCGGAACGGTTCATTTTCGCAGACTCGCCACGTAAAGAGCGCCTGCCCCTCTCCCTCCTCTCTCCCCCTTTCCCAAAAAAGGAAGAAAGAAATCGCTCCCTAGGTAGCTTATTTATTGAAATCACGTTTAGGTACTACGCGAAAGCCGAAATGCCCGAGAAACCCTTCGTTCCCCTTGTACGTATATATATGTATATGAAGATATGCGCTGCTCTCTTTTCATCGTTCTCGTTACTCACCATCACCCTTTTCTCACTTCTTTCCCCCTCTCTATCGATCACATTCCTTGACTATCATTGACGCGCAACGTCATACCACGATTGCGAATTATTTGATACAAAGTCACTAATTGTTAATTCATCAATTTTTAGCTTATTTATATCTTCTTCCTGAAAAGATACTTTTGATTACAAATTTTCTATAAAAAAATGGTGATCGATGATACGTTATATCTACGTTTCGATCACGTCGCTATAATAAAAGGAGTAGTACTCAATTACTCATTTCTATGATCCGAATTAACATGTCTGAATAAATAAAATTTATTTAAAAACACATGTCTGTTTTATCCGGTCCTTCATTCGTTTAAATTATTAAAATTCGCATTTTTTTACACGAAGTCTGAAAATACTCAATACCTGATTAATTTAATTGCATACGAGTGGCAGTGCATAAGAAAGATTATTCCTACGGATGATGTTTGTATGTTGTGTGTTAAAAAGTGTAGGGAGCAATATGCATGTAGTAACGCCACGGTTTGTGTGACGAATCGAAAAATTAATTTTACATCATGTTTCATATACAGATTGGATGTTTATTTTTTCGCGAAATAACATTTTTCATATAATGTAAGAAAATTCTTTTTTTTTTTACTGTGAACCGTTTATTGTTTATTGTACATCATATTACTTATTTCTTTCGGTGATTCGTTATCGACACGTGGCGAATGCAAGCTAAGCACGATAAGATGTCGCGTGTAAACAGAAATTAAACGCCAACAGATGACCATGAAAAAGGCGACGCTTTAAAATCCGACGCTTATAATTTAATAACAGATAACTAATCTAACGTGTATATGTATTGTATTGTAATATGAGTATTGTAACTCCGCCTCTAAAAATTAACCATCTCGTTTTGTATGTGTAAGCATAGCGTCACGTAGCGAGAATCACCGCGGCGTTCACGGCGATGCGATGCGGAGTAAAATGACAGAATAATTTTTATGGAGTATGCGAGTCTCCTCGAAAGCGAGATGTGTCACTGACTCTGTCGTCCTAAATATATATGTGTAAAAAAAAAAAAGAAAAAAAGCGCATGCGATTCCCGACCAGCGTCACTCTCGCGATTACTCATCGAACTACTCGTAATCGAGCCAACCTGGAATTAGTTTCGGTATCGAAGAAAATTTTGTCGATCATTTGTTACCGTCTAGTTTATATGTTTTTATATTGGCAAAAGAAATTTTGCTCGATTCTAAATTCTGTTAGTCTCATGTATGTATGACACTGCGATCATCTTATCATCGCCGCGTGACTCGATTGCGAGCAGACTATCTCACCGCCCGTCCCAGCCTTACCACCCTCTCCTTTTTTTTACTTCTCACTATCGACGAACCAGAAAACGGCAGACGAAACGAATAGAGAACACAAGAGATGAATCTGACTACCCTGTCCCCTCTCTTATAGATAGATAGTATACATACTAAATAAAAAAGAAAAGTAAAGTATAAATATTATATATATAAATAAAAATATATGAAAGATGTGTATTGTAAGATATTTAATACCGACTTGTCTTAGGCACACCCGATGACGATCGATAACAATGAAACGATGATAATAATTATTATGATGATTGTTGTATAACGAACGACGACGATGATGATATTCTACACTGTAATTCGCGTTGTAATATAGAGGCCCATCCGTTACCCACTAAATCGATGTGTCGATGTATCCCCGGCCGTGCTATGCTCGTGTGCGCATTTCGAAGGGATGACCGAAAGGGAGATCGGAGATCTTTGCAGGTGCGTCGCGCTTTGGACGACGGCCAATCAGCCGAACTGAGATTTTTCTACGAGAAGGACCGGGAGCCACTTTCGTAACTGGCCGACGTTCAACGACCGTCGCACTCGGGACGAAAAATTAGATCGATTTCGATCGCGCCTTCGCGCTGTGCGACGTTAATCATCCCGGTTGTAATGCGAAAGCCCCACACACACACACACACACACACACACACGCGCGCGCGCGCGCGCGCGCGCGCACACACACACACACACACACATACATACACACTTATACACACGCCCGCTCTGTTTACGATGTGCAGCAGCCTATTACGAACGAGCATAGCACGTTCGGCAGCAACTAGCAATAATATAACATTCCAACTTAAATCGCATATGTACTGCGAATTCTAATAATGTGTGCCGCCATACGAGAATGAAAAACACTGTCAAATACACGCTCATACACTGCTATTCATCGTATTTATTATCATACCGACTTCTTATCCCTCTAATGGCCATAATCGCGAGTAAAAACGACGATGTGAAGGAACGATAGCTAAACCAGTCTCCGAAGCGATAAAGTAGCGGACATACGATTTGGTCCAACGAGTTATGCAAACTGCAGAAACATTTGCAAAAAAAAAAGGAAAGAAGAAAAACGACCGAGACGGGTTTGTCCTGCGCCTAATGTCATGTAACGCTTGTAAAGTTGTTACTCTCATTACTACGTTTCTTTCCCCGAAGTTTAATAGTCCAGAAATGTCAAAGTAACAAACAGTACTTGCTGTGTTAAATAATTAATTTCTCTCAGAAAATGCAAATTTTATTTATGACAATAGTAAATGTAAAGATTGCTCCAAATTTGCTGTTACAATACGAATATTTATGCTCTAAGTTTTTTAAATATCATCGGCTTTGAAAAGGGGATTTTATCGCAAGAGAAATTCAACTTCATAGGAACCGAATTTCTACCGGCGATGGATTTGTGAAACTGTCAATGTACTTACCCATCCACTCGAGCCGTCTCGAAGCCGAAAGCCAAAATCAAACACATCCCGATGGTGAGCGACAGCAGCGATGGCCGGACCGAGAGGTTCTTTATTTGCGGTGATGGTTGAGAAAGAATCAAGGATTTCTTTTAGGGAAGGAAGGATGCGAAGAAAGAAAGAAATATCCCATAAATCTTGTACTCATCTTCTTAAAAATCCCGAGCTATTTCCCACAAATCTCTCTCTTGCGTTCTACATTTCACTATCTCCCATTCAAGTATTTAACTTGAAATCGGCCCGATGAAACCATTGAGTTGCACCCTTCTTATCCTTACATAAAATACCCGCCCTATCCTGCTCTCTTCCGAATCGTCGCGTACCCCTTTTCCTTCCTTACTTTCCTCCGATTCCCCCCAGCATCAGCAACGTACATTTACACGTCATCGGGTAGGTTGACAATGTTCCATGGTGCACAAGTTCCCGCATCTCAGGTCCCAAGATTACCTTCTTCAAAGTGCGGCTTTCGTGCTCCCCCAGGAAACTCTATCTTACCGGATAATGCCTGTAATCCGCTTTCGTTTGGGCGGATTGGTGCCTCGGAATTTCACACGAAATGCACGTACTAGTCAACGGTACAATAAACGAAGCATTTAAGAATTGCACTATGAGATTTATTGTTTAATATGAGCCTTATCATTATTTCTCAATCTTTCAATAAATGATTATTTTACTTATTTAATTAATTATTTATCGTTACAATCATGCATGTTTAAATACTTTCTTTTTTAGAATAAATATTATACATTTTTAGATAATAAATTGATGTTATTTATATTAAATATTAATATTACATTTATTTGACAGCTATAAATAGACTTTTAGATGCTCATAAATAAAAAATTATACGCTTTTACAGTGAAATTTCAAAACAGAGGCTTCTATCTTTGATTTTTAATAATAATAGTTCTAGTCATACTATATATTTGTACACGATACGAAAATCTTAACAACACACATGAACAGTCCGTGGATTCCCCAATACGATGGCACACACCCGCGCGAGAAGATCCAGCGCAGCCTCCAATTAAGATCTCTCAATTAGCGTATCTTATCTCCTGGCTCCTTATCTGTCGGCCTGCTCTGGACAGGTTCCTGCGCGTTTCTCCGGTTCTTTGGACCAGTCCCGGATCGAACGATCGGTCGGTCTATTTCCCGGACGTTGCTTCACCTGCATGCTGCACGCTTTGTGGCCCGCAGCGATGCCGCCCTCGTTAAATCAAGTACCGCCGCGCCAGGAGAATATTAAGTCGGCGATTCATTAGAGGAGATTCTATCGTGCGATCGTGCGATCGTTCTTCCTTCTACCGGTCGCTACCAGTTATGATCCCATACTATTTCATAAGTGACTTCACCGCTATGCTCCTGGATATATCTTCGCAATTAGACGCGCGTTAGTACGCTTAATTATTTCGCGCTTTGAGCGTCCATTAGACTTCGAAATATTGGTTATTTCCCGTCAATTTAACCGATGTGAATTCACGCGTAACTTGACACATTATTAATCGTCGCGTATAACTTCTAATATCCTTGAATACATATGTGTAATTATTGCATGTAATTATTATATCATGCATTTAAAAATTTGTAATTGCTGTTTCACTTAAATTTAAGTTAGCAAATAAAATATTAATGTTTATTAATAAAATATAGAGATCGGATAAAAAATTAGTAAAATTATCACAATTGATTTGCTTATTATAAATAAATCTTTTGTTATGTGATATGAAGTAGAAATTGTAACTTTTGATTTATATATATATATTTTTTTTTTTAAATGTTTCTATTTGAAAAAAGTTTAAAAGATTATTCTATTCTTTCAAAGAGAAGTGACTTGGAGACGTCCATTCAGCAAATTGGTTGCTGTGGGAATGTCCCCAGTAGGATAAAGTCCGACAATTTCGAAAGAACAGTGACCATTCAAGAGCGCAGAATATGGAATGAGAACGGACCAGACCCTTGCAAAAAGACAGAGAAAGGAAAGAAAGAATTCCATATTTGGAAATCTAGTAGTTTACAAAAAGGCATCTTAATAATCTTAAATCATAATACCAAACGTACTACGATTTACGATTTACATTCACGTTTTTTTACTTTGAAACGCTGCAAAAAATGTATATAATATATTCCATTTAATAAATATTTAATTATGCATAATCGCAACTACGTAAATTTTGCGATATACTTCATTCAATATTTCTTTGCATACACATATAATTTATAATATTTATTATTACTATTGAGCTTAAATAAATTATTAATTCCTTAAAATTATTCTTTAAAATAATTCCCAAGATCTCCTAGGATCTTTGATTCAACGTCCATATATTTTTTTACATCCTGTGCCTATGCACAGGAAGTCAAATGTCGAAGAATGCGAAGAGCCTAAGGAGAAGAGCTGATTGAATCACTGGTAACAATAAGGAACTGACCTCGGTAAATATTCGTTGGACATGCTGCGAACCCGCAGTATAGGATTTCAACTGCTCTTTTAATCTCCATGGGTTCTGTGCTGGGTGGATTTATGTGTAGACCCGTCGGGTGGTCACCAACACGCCATGCAACGCCCATCGGAAAAAATCACGAAAATTCTATGTCGATTTTTCGCACGTTACGCCTCTTCCCTTCGCTCACACGAGAAACGGAAGCACCAGGTGGATTCTCTCTTGGTTTTTCACCCTTGTGTTCGCCGGATTCTCATCCGATAAATGCGACTAGCATTCGACTCTTCGGCTGATCCGAATGAACGGTTACCCATGCCTGCGTGAGATCTTTTGTTACATGCCTCACTATAGACGTCCTCGAATTTCATTCACAAAGGTTCTTACCGAAAATTTTGAATATTATATTGCAAATACCTTTATTCTTTTATCGTTAGCGCCGCTATAGTGTTCAATACAGTGTTTCATATATATGTATATGTATCGTAATTATAATAATTTCCTAAATATAACTGCTTTTCTAAATAATTTATTAAATAATAATTAAATAAAATCCAATATAATCATAGTTTGCAACTTTTCAGAAATTAAATAATAAATTAAATTACTTTATACAAGATAAGAAAAAATATTATTAATTACCTTTAATATATTTTAATGTTTAATGTAAATAACATATATAATACTTATATTTTATTTAATTATCTATATGAAACAATTAATGCATTCACAAATTATGTAAATTGTTTTTTTCCTAGATAATTCTATAAGATTTGTAATATCGATCCATCAGCTCTCACACTTTCTCCAGAAACTTGGATATCTGTATTATTTGATTAAATTTATTGATTTAATGTTTGGTTGTGAAAATAAATCTTTGAAAATTATTGTATCTTGTGATCGTCTTGCTACCGGTTTGTCTTAATTGGACCAATCATGGGCACGCATATAAATGTTCCGACCGCTTTTTCGGCAATCGTCCTTATCAGCCCATTATCCGTAACGGCGGCTACTTCGTAACCGGAAATATCGTGGATCTTAAATGGTTACACACGAATGTAGAGAAAAAAAGAGAGAAGAAAAAGAAATGAGGAGACGACAGACAACTCGTTATTTTGAACAAAGCCCATAGATGGAATCTTCATTTCCCATTAAAGGCCGATCTGTTAAGTCGATAACATGAAATGCATTATTTCACGGCCTCAATG